GTGTGGCCCCGCATTATCTGCACTTCGTGGCCCCCGCTCGTTCGCGCTCTTCGTGGCCCCATACGCATTCCCTTCGTGTCCCCGCTGTCGCCCTTCGTGACCTACTTCGTGCCCTTCGTGGCCCTGCTGTCGTTTTTCTCTCGCTCTCGCTTTCGCTCGTCGTCGCCGTCGTCGTCGTCGTCGTCGCCGTCGTCTTCGACGTCGTCGTCGTCGTCGCCGTCGTCGTCGTCGCCGTCGTCGTCGTCGTCGTCGTCGTCGTCGTGGTCGGTCCCCTGTCCGTCCCTCTTGGGGTCGGGTCGACGGTCCGCGGCCGCCCCGCCGATCAGCGCTGCCGCTGGCCAGGCCGACGGTCCGCGGCCGCCCCGCCGCTTGCCGGGGCCCGGCCTGCAGGGAAGAAAGGTATACCCCCCAAACGGGCCTCGATCGAAGACGAAGAGGGCGGGTATCGAGGGTTTGGGAAATACGCGTTGTTGGACACTGGAGCATATAAGGGCGAACGGTCTTAAAATTATTATTGTTGTTGTTGTTGGTGTTGTTGTTGTTGAACATTATTAATTCTAAAGAATAATTATTGTTGGGACCCCTGGTGCACGGCCCCCCTGCGCCGCCTAGGCCGCAGCTACATTTTCATCATTTTCGTGAGGAAGCCTCAGGTAATTCGATGTGATCAAGATCCGGTTGTTTTGTTCCCCCCCGCTTTCCCTTGCAAAAAACACTATAAAATGACATTTCTTGTTCTAATATAATCAAATTTCAAGAATCCCTTGCAAAAAATAAGGTAAAGTGGACATTCGCGCGCGCAAGACGAAATCCTTCCAAAAGCTTAGTGTTCGGAGCGATTTTAACATAAAAACATCAAAAAACCAATGGTTTTTCAACAAAAAAATGTCAAAATCTCATCCCGCGCGCTCTTGCGGATTCGTAGGAAACCCAACACTTTTTAAACATTTCTGTCAAACGGGCTTTTGCGAGCAACTTTTTCGAACTTCTGCGACAACGGTTGCGCACCTGCCAGGGCCATCATCCCTGTCAAATAATACCATGCGGGACACATTCGTTTTTTCTTCGCGCGCGCACGCCGTCGTCGTCGGCCGCGGGGCCCTGAATAGTAGCCACGGTCGTCCGCATGCCACGAAGTGAAGTGTCCGAACGTCATAGGGCGGGAAGCTGGGTGTGGGTGGTGGCGAAGAGTCGTTTGGAAATTTGGTAGAGCTTGAACCGGCCCCCCCACAAAGTGGGGGTATTGCCCGCCTCCTATGAAAACCCTGGCACTGGTGAGAACGGAGTGTCCCCAGTCTTAAATGATTGTTGTTGTTGTTGTTGTTGTTGTTGTTGATTTTGTTTGTTGTTGTTGTTGTTGTTGTTGTTTTTTGTTGAACATTATTACTTCTAAAGAATAATTATTGTTGGGGCCCCTGGTGCATGGCCCCCCCGCCGCGCCTAGGCCGCAGCCACATTTTCATCATTTTCGTGAGGAAGTCTCAGGCAAAACGGGTTGGTCCGGATCCGGTTGTTTTGTTACGGCTCGCTTTCCCTTGCAAAAAATAAGCTAAATGGACATTTCTTGTTCTAACATAACCAAACTTCAAGAATCCCTTGCAAAAAATAAGGTAAAGTGGACATTCGCGCGCGCAAGACGAAATCCTTCCAAAACCTTAGTTTTCGTAGCGATTTTAACATAAAAACATCAAAAAACCAATGGTTTTTCAAACAAAAATTGTCAAAATTTCATCCCGCGCGCTCTTGCGGATTCGTAGGAAACCCAACACTTTTTAATCATTTCTGTCAAACGGGCTTTTGCGAGCAACTTTTTCGAACTTCTGCAACAACGGTTGCGCACCTGCCAGGGCCATCATCCCTGTCAAATAATACCATGCGGGACACATTCGTTTTTTCTTCGCGCGCGCACGCCGTCGTCGTCGGCCGCGGGGCCCTGAATAGTAGCCACGGTCGTCCGCATGCCACGAAGTGAAGTGTCCGAACGTCATAGGGCGGGAAGCTGGGTGTGGGTGGTGGCGAAGAGTCGTTTGGAAATTTGGTAGAGCTTGAACCGGCCCCCCCACAAAGTGGGGGTATTGCCCGCCTCCTATGCAAACCCTGGCACTGGTGAGAACGGAGTGTCCCCACGTGCTAGTAATTGTTGTTGTTGTTGTTGTTGTTTCTGCTGCTGCTGCTGCTGCTGCTGCTGCTGCTGTTGCTGCTTTTTTTTTTGTGGGAAGGACTCCCTACTCTCCTCCGCGTTGCCACGTTCTCCTCATTCCTCTCTCCCCCGCCCTCCTCCTCTTTCCCTTCCCCAGAATCGCGTTTTTTGCTGCGCCCCCCCCCCCAGAAGAAGAAGAAGAAAAAGAAAAAAAACAAAAAAAAAAAAAACGCGGCGCGGCCTCCCGTTTTTGTTTCGGGAGGGGGGTTCCTCCTGCTCCTCCGCGCTGCTCCGCTCCCTCCTTCCTCTCTCCCCCGCCCTCCTCCTTTTCCTCCTTCCCCCAGCATGTAGCTTTTTGCTAATGAGATGCTTCGAAACCAAGAAATGCCCTGCTTGGCATTGCATTGGCATTGGTTTGGCCATGGTTTGGCATCGCATTGGCATTTCGTTGGCATTGCGTTTGGCAGTTCGTTGCCAGTGCGCTTGCATGTCGCAAGCATTGCGCTGGCGGGTCCGAATGGAACCTTCCACGACAGGATTCAGATTGGAACCCTCTACCAGAAGGACTCATATTGAAACCCTCCACAAAACGGGTTCATTCATATTGAAACCCTACACAGAAGGATTACATGCGAAGCCCTCCACAGAAGAATTCCCACTGAAATATATCACATATGCTTCCCCCATTGGCATTGCATTGACATTGGGTTGAGATCGCCGTGGTATTAGGTTGGCATTGCGTTGGCACTGCTTTGGCATTGCGCTGCCATTGCGCTGGCGAGTTTCAATACATCCCTCCGCATAACGATTCCAATTGAGCCCCGCACAAGACGGATTCCGATTGACACATGTGGTTCATAGTGAACCCATTCGAGGCCCTCCATATAAGGAATCCTATTGAAACCGACCACAAGCGATTCCCCCCAGGCATTTCATTGGGATTGTATTGGGGTTGCCATGGCATTGGTTTGGCATTGCGTTGGCACTGTTTTGGCGTTGCGCTGGCGAGTCCGAATGGGTCCCACCATAGAAGGATGCGTATTTCAAACCTTCAACACGAAGGGTTCCATTTGAAAGCCCCCACATGAAGGGTTCATGGTAAAGCCCTCCACAGAAGGATTCCTGCCGAAACCCTCCACAGGAAGATTTCTATCGACATCCTCCGAAGAAGGACCCGTAACCAAATCATCCACATAAGGATTTCTGTTGGAATTTGAAAGACTGGAATGATGCCATCGGCATTGCATTGGCATTGGTTTGGTTACGGTTTGGCATCGCACTGGTATTGCGTTGGCATTGCGGTGGCAGTGCGTTGGCATTGAGATGGCATTGCGCTGGCGAGTCCCAACCAAACGCTCCACATAAGGATTCCGATGGAACACGTCCACAAGAATGGTGCCTACAGACCCCCCCACAATAAAGATTCACGTTGCAATCCTCCACAAAAGGGTTCCACGCGAATCCCTCCACATTGCAATCCTCCGAAGAAGGGTCCTTAGGAGGATTCCTTTGTGGATGACATCATCCACAGAAGGGTTCTTAGAAGGATTGCTATTGAACCCTGCCACAAGCAATCCACTTCATTGGCGTTGCATTGATACTAAGATTTGATGGCCTTCGCGTTGGCTTGGCATTCCGTTGGCACTGCTTTGGCACTGCGCTGGCGAGTCCTAATGCCTCCCTTCGCAGAACGATTCCTATTGAAACCTCCACAAGCAAGATTTCTCTTGGAATCGATAACAAAGGATTCCTCCCATTGGCATTGGATTGGGATCGCCTTAGCATTGGTTTGGCATTGTGATGGCACTGCTTCGGCATTGCGTTGGCATTGCGCTGGCGAGTCCTAATGGCTCCCTCCGCAGAAGGACTCCTACTGAACCCCCCACAAGAAGGATTCCTGGTGAAACCCTCCACAGGAGGATCCCTATCGAAACCCTGCACAGAGGCATTCCTAGTGAAATCCTCCGAAGCAGGATTCGTAACGACACCGTCGACAAAGGGTTCTGGTTGAACTCCACCGAGCGAAAGGATTCCCCCATTCACATTGCATTGGCGTTGGCATTGTTTGGCGATGGATTGGTATCGCATCGGTATGCGTTGGCCTGGTGCAGGAGATAGACAGAGAGAGACAAAGAGAGAGAGAGAGAGAAAGACGATATCACGATATAGCGAGAGAAGCACATTATGAGGGGATCACGGCGAACAGAAGCATGGCAAAAAAACGACACCAACGTTCACAAAGAGGAAGGAGCATCATTCCACTCGATCAGAACCATATCAAAGCAACGTGCGACCCCACAATCCCCCGGCCTCGAGAACCTCCTCCTCTTCCTCATCCTCCTCCTCCTCCTCCTCCCTCGCCTACCTCCTCCTCCCTCCTCGAGAACCTCCTCCCTCCTCCTCCTCCTCCCTCCTCGAGAACCTCCTCCTCTTCCTCCTCGTCCTCCTCCTCCTCCTCCTCCCTCGCCTACCTCGCCCGCCTATTGGTTGCGAGGGTGACGCATCGGCCCACCGGGGCGGGGCGGGCCGCCCGCGGGGCTCTCTCGATGCGGGGCTATAGGACTGGGACGAATCCCTTCCGGATCTCTCCGGAGCGATCTCGGAGCGCTCCAGCGGCGCCCGAGGCCTCCTCCTCATCCTCCTCCTCCTCCTCCTCTTCCTCTTCCTCCTCCTCCCTCCTCCTCTTCCTCCACCTCTTCCTTCCTCCTCCTCCTCCTCCTCCTCCTCCTCCTCCTCCTCCTCCTCCTCCTCACCCCTCCTCCTCCTCCCCCTCTTCCGCCCCGGGGCCCGTTCCGGCCCTGGGGCCCGCCCGCCCCGGGGCCGGAACGATCTCGGAGCGCTCCAGCTCTAGGCCTCCCAGATGGGGTCGGAGTAGATGGGGTCGGAGGATCGCGCCGCATCGCCTATGCATCGGCGATGCGGCTCGATGCGGAGCCCGATGTTCCCCACGCCGACGCCGCCGATGCATCGCCGACGTCGCCGATGCATCGCCGATCCGTCGCCGATGCATCGGCGATGCATCGCCGATGCATCGGCGATGCATTGGCGATGCAGCGCGATTCTTCGGCCCCATTTGCTCGGACCCCATCTGGGAGACCTCTACCAGCAGGCTGTGAGCTGTGAGCAGACCGCGGCGCCCGAGGCATCCTCAAGAGCCGCTCGATCTCAGAGATTCTCCATGTGCCCCCACCCGAATTCGTCTTCGTCTTGGTTTCGTCTTGGCACCTGTCTGTCCCCAGGAGTCACGACCCGTTCCCCAGGACCCGCTTTTCAGCCCGAGTCGTTTTTGGAGGGTCCCGGGGCCCGGCGAGGGCCCCTGGAGGCCGAAAGCGGCGAAAAGCTTCCGTTTTGATTTGGTCAATGCGTTGGATCCTTGGGGCCGACCTTTCCTCACCCGATTTTATCTTCGCCCTGGTTTCGTCTTAAAGTGGGGCCCAGGCCACGCCCGTGGGGATACGGCAGGTTCGCGTCGTGTCGACCGGCGGCGGCCCCAGCGCGTGCGTTTCAGGTTGAACGCCGCCCGTGGCCCAGAATCGGCCCGTCGTTGAACGATCTGGCGTTAAGGGAATGGCCGATCGTTCGAGCTTGACCGATCCCCGCGGTGTCAGGAACCAACGCCAGGGTCGACACGACACGAACCTGTCGTACACCTCAGGCGATGTTTAAGAAAACCTAAGTTTTCTGCCAGAGTCTCGATTATTCTTAACGTTTCAATGTAAATCTTAAGATGTTAATGGAAATGTTGGGTTTTTATTCAAGTTCTGAGACTATGAATTTCTTAACCCATGATTTCTTGAGCATTTCGCAGGGTGTAGGCACCAGCTGCACGATGCTTATTGGCCCCCCCTCGTCGCGAGGTCTCCTCCCTGGAGGCCCTGTGGGCCGAGCCCTTCGAGGACCGCGGCCTGCCCAGGGTGGCCACCGGGGCCGGCTTCGAGGCGCCCCGCAAGGGTTTCTGGACGCCCGAAATGGGCACGGAAAGAATGGGTACAATGCCCAACAGCAATTCTCCCTCCTCCTCCTCCTTCTCCCTCCTCCCCCTCCTCCTCCTCCTCCTCCTCCTCCTCCTCCTCCTACTCCTCCTCCTCCTCCTCCTCCTCCTCCTCCTCCTCCTCCTCCTACTCAATTCCTGTTCAGTTTGGACAGGATTCGCTGTCCACACCGCCGCGGCCTGTGTCCGTTCGAGGCAGAAAAGGCCGCCTGCCCAAGAGCGACCGCTGTTGGTTTGGGACAACATTTGTTGTTGGGCGTTGTGCCCATTCTTTCGGTACCCATTTCGGGTGTCCAAAGGGTTGAAGAGATCAACGGCAAGAGACGACGCGCTGCTGGCCGTCGTCGTCGTCGTCGTCGTCGTCACACGCGCCGTCGTTACCGCCTCCGCCGACGCCACTGTCATCCTCTTCATCTTCGTCGTCGTCGCGGTCGTTGTCGTCGTTGTCGTCGTCGTCGTCACCGCCGCCACCTCCGCCGCCGCCACTGCTGTCATCCTCTTCATTCGTCGTCGTCGTCGCGGTCGTCGTCGTCGTCTCGTCCCGTCGCGTCGTCGTCACCGCCGCCGCCTCCCGCCGCCACTTTCATCTCTTCATCTTCGTCTGTCGTCGCGCTGGCCGTCGTCGTCGTCGTCGTCGTCGTCACACGCGCCGTCGTTACCGCCTCCGCCGACGCCACTGTCATCCTCTTCATCTTCGTCGTCGTCGCGGTCGTTGTCGTCGTTGTCGTCGTCGTCGTCACCGCCGCCACCTCCGCCGCCGCCACTGCTGTCATCCTCTTCATCTTCGTCGTCGTCGCGCGGTCGGCGTCGTCGTCTCGTCACCGTCGTCGTCGTCGTAACCGCCGCCGCCCTTTCCCCCCCCCCGCCGCCGCCACTGTCATCCTCTCATCTTCGTCGTCGTCGCGCGTCGTCGTCGTCGTCGTCAACCGCCCGCCTCCGCCGACGCCAATGTCATGCCTCTTCATCTGGTCGTCGTCGTCGCGGTCGTCGTCGTCGTAGCGTCGTCGCCGTCGGTCGTCGTCGTCGTCGTCGTCGCTTCGTCGTCGTCATGTTGGCGTCGTCGTCGACGCCGCCGCCTCCGCCGCCGCCACTGTCATCTTTTCATTTCGACGTCGTCGTCGCGGTCGCGTAGTAGTAGTCGTCGTCGTCGTCGCCGCCGCCGCCGCCGCCGCCGCCTCCGCCTCCGCACTGTCACCTTTCATTTTCGTCGTCGTTGTCGCGGTCGTCGTTGTCGGTCGTCGTCGTCAAAAAAACCGCCGTCGCCGCCGCCTCCGCCGCCGCCACTGTTAATCTCTCATCTTCGGCGTCGTCGCGGTCGTGTCGTCGTTGTCGTCGGCCCTGCTCACAGCCGCACCTCCGCCGCCACTGTTATCCTCTTCATCTTCGTCGCGTCGTCGCGGTCGTCGTTCGTCGTCGTCACCGGTGTACGTCGTCACCCGCCGCCGCCTCCTCGCCGCCACTGTCATCCTCTCATCTTCGTCGTCGTCGCGGTCGTCGTCGCGGTCGTAGTCGTGTCGTTTTCGGGGGGGGTCTTCGTCGTCGTCACGCGCGCCTCCGCCGCCGACACTGTCATCCTCTTCAGCTGTTCGTCGTTTTTTTTTTTTTTCGTTCGCCGTCGTAAGTCGTCGTCGCCGGTCGTCGTCGCGGGTCGGTCGTCGTCGTCGTCATTGTGTCGTCGTCGTCGTCGACGCCGGCCGCCTCCGTGCCCCCGCCGACACTGACTCATCCTTTTCATTTTCGACGTCGTCGTCGCGGTCGTCGTCGTCGTCGTCGTCATCGTCGTCGTCGTCGTCGTCGTCACCGCCGCCGCCTCCGTCTCCGCCACTGTCATCCTTTTCATGTTCGTCGTCGTTGTCGCGGTCGTCGTCGTCGTCGTCGTCGTCGTCACAGCCGCCGTCGCCTCCGCCTCCGCCTCCGCCGCCGCCACTGTCATCCTCTTCATCTTCGTCGTCGTCGCGGTCGTTGTCGTCGTTTCGTCGTCGTCGTCATCACGCCGACACCTTCCGCGCCGCACTGTCATCATCTTCATCTGTCGTCGCGTCGCGGTCGCGTCGTCGTCGTCACAGTCGTCGTCGCCACCGGCCGCCGCCTCCGCCGCCGCCACTGTAATCCTCTTCATCTTTCGTCGTCGCGGTCGTCGTCGTTGTCGTCGTAGTTTGTCGTCGTAGTAGTCGTTACCTCCGCCTCGTCGTTCGTGCGTTGCTCGTTGGCCATCCTTCGTTCGTCCGTCGTCGCGGTCGTCGTCGTGTCGTCGCCGCGCCGTCGAGGTCGTCGTGTCGTCCATGGAGGGTGTCGTCTCGTCGTTCGGTCGTCGTCATTGGTCGTCGTCGTCGTCGACGCCGCCGCCTCCGCCGCCGCCACTGTCATACTTTTCATTTCGACCCCGGTCGTTCGCCCCGGTCGTTCGCGGGTCCAGCGTCGTCACCGCCGACCGCCTCCGCCCCGCCACTGTCATCCTTTTCATTTTCGTCGGTCGTTGTCGCGGTCGTCGTCGTCGTTCGTCGTCGTCGTCACCGCCGCCGCCTCGCCGCCGCCACTGTCACCTCTTCATCTTCGTCGTCGTCACGGTGGTCGTGGTCGTGGTCAATCGTCGTCATCGTTATCACCGCCAGCATCAGCGTCGCCGCCGCACTGTCATACTCTTCATCGTCTCGTCGGTCGTCGTCTGGGTCATCTCGTCGTCGTCGTCACCGCCGCCGCCTCGCCGCCGCTCACTGTCATCCTCTTCATCGTCTCGGTTTCGTCGTCGTCGCGGTCGTCGTCGTTAGTCGTCGTCGTCGTCGGTCGTTTTTTTTTAAACACCCGGGGGCCCGCGCCTCCGCCGCCGCAACTGTTATCCTCTTCATCGTCGTCGTCGTCGTCGTCGTGTCACCACGCCGCCGTGCCTCGCCGCCGCCACTGTCATCTCTTATCTTCGTCGTCGTCGCGGTCGTCGTCGTCGTCGTCGTTGTCACCGCCGCCGGTGCCTCCGCCGCCGCCACTGTCATCCTCTTCATCTTCGTCGTCGTCGCGGTCGTCGTCGTCGTCGTCGTCGTCGACGTCGTCCCCACCGCCGCCGCCGCCAATGTTATCCTCTTCATCTTCGTCGTCGTCGTCGCGGTCGTCGTCGTCGTCGTCACCGTCGTCGTCGTCACCGCCGCCTCCGCGACGCCACTGTCATCTCCTCCATCTTCGTCGTCGGATCGTCGGGGTCGTCGTCGTCGTCGTCGTCGTCGCCGTCGTCGTCGCGGTCGTCGTCGTCGTCGTCGTCGTTGTCATTGTCGTCGTCGTCGTCGACGCCGCCGCCTCCGCCGCCGCCACTGTCATCCTTTCCATTTTCGACGTCGTCGTCGCGGTCGTCGTCGTCGTCGTCGTCGTCGTCGTCGTCACCGCTGCCGCTTCCGCCTCCGCACTGTCATCCTTTTCATTTTCGTCGTCGTTGTCGCGGTCGTCGTCGTCGTCGTCGTCGTCGTCGTCGTCGTCGTCACCGCTGCCGCCTCCGCCGCCGCCACTGTCATCCTCTTCATCTTCGTCGTCGTCACGGTGGTCGTGTTCATCGTCTTCGTCGTCGTTATCACCGCCGCCTCCGCGTCCGCCGCCGCCAATGTAATCCTCTTCATCTTCATCGTCGTCGTCGCGGTGGTCATCGTCGTCGTCGTCGTCGTCGTCACCGCCGCCGCCTCCGCCGCCGCCACTGTCATCCTCTTCATCTTCGTCGTCGTCGCCGCGGTCGTCGTCGTGTTCGTCGTCGTCGTCGTCGTTACCGCCGCCGCCTCCGCCGCCGCAATGTCATCCTCTTCATCTTCGTCGTCGTCGTCATCGTTGTCACCGCCGCCGCTGCCTCCGCCGCCGCCACTGTCATCCTCTTCATAGTCGTCGTCGTCGCGGTCGTCGTCGTCGTCGTCGTCGTCGTCGCGCCGACGTCGTCCTCACCGCCGCAACCGCCACTGTTATTCTCTCATCTTCCCTCTTCATCTTCGTCGTCGTCGTATCGGTCGTCGTCGCCGACCGTCGTCGTCGTCGACGCCGCCGCCTCTGCCGCCGCCACTGTCATCCTCTTCATCTTCGTCGTCGTCGCGGTCCTCGTCGCGGTCGTCGTCGTTGTCGTCGTCGTCGTCACCGCCGCCGCCTCCGCCGACGCCATTGTCATCCTCTTCATCTTCGTCGTCGTCGTCGCGGTCGTCGTCGCCGTCGTCGTCGCGGTCGTCGTCGTCGTCGTCATTGTCGTCGTCGTCGACGCCGCCGTTTCCGCCGCCGCCACTGTCATCCTTTTCATGTTCGACGTCGTCGTCGTCGTCGTCGTCGTCGTCGTCACCGCCGCCGCCTCCGCCTCCGCCACTGTCATCCTCTTCATTTTCGTCGTCGTTGTCGCGGTCGTCGTCGTCGTCGTCGTCGTCGTCGTCGTCGTCGTCGTCACCGCCTCCGCATCTGCCGCCGCCACTGTCATCCTCTTCATCGTCGTCGTCGCGGTGATTACCGTCGTCGTCGTCGTCGTCGTCGTCGTCGTCACCGCCGCCGCCTCCGCCGCCGCCACTGTCATCCTCTTCATCTTCTTCGTCGTCGTCGTCGCGGTCGTCGTCGTCGTCGTCGTCGTCGTTACCGCGCCGCCTCCGCCGCCGCAACTGTCATCCTCTTCATCTTCGTCGTCGTCGTCGCGTCGTCGTTCGTCGTCGTCGTCGTCGACGTCGTCCTCACCGCCGCCGCCGCCTCCGCCGCCGCCACTGTCATCCTCTTCATCTTCGTCGTCGTCACGGTGGTCGTGGTCATCGTCGTCGTCGTCGTTATCACCGCCGCCTCCGCGCCCGCCGCCGCCATTGTCATCCTCTTCATCTTCATCGTCGTCGTCGCGGTGATTACCGTCGTCGTCGTCGTCGTCGTCGTCACCGCCGCCGCCTCCGCCGCCGCCACTGTCATCCTCTTCATCTTCTTCGTCGTCGTCGTCGCGGTCGTCGTCGTCGTCGTCGTCGTTACCGCCGCCGCCTCCCGCCGCAACTGTCATCATCTTCATCTTCGTCGTCGTCGTCGCGGTCGTCGTCGTCGTCTCGCGTCGTCGACGTCGTCCTCACCGCCGCCGCGCCTCCGGCCGCCGCCATTGTCATCCTCTTCATCTTCGTCGTCGTCGTCGTCGTCACCGCCGCCGCCATCCCGCCGCCGCCGCCACTATCATCCTCTTCATCTCCGTCGTCGTCGTCGTCGTCATCACCAACGCCGCCGCCTCCGCCGCCGCCACTGTCATCCTCTTCATCTTCGTCTTCGTCGTCGCAGTCTTCGTCGTCGTCGTCGTCGTCGACGTCGTTGTCACCGCCGCCGCCGCCTCCGCCGCCGCCACTGTCGTCCTCTTCATCGTCGTCGTCGTCGTCGTCGTCGTCGTCGTCGTCGTCACCAGCGCCGCCGCCGCCGCCTCCGCCGCCGCCACTGTCATCTTCTTCATCTTCGTCGTCGTCGTCGCCGCCGCCGCTTCCGCCGCCGCCACTGTCATCATCTTCATCTTCGTCGTCGTTGTTGCGTCGTCGTCGCGGTCGTCGTCGTCGTCGTCGACGTCGTCCTCACCGCCGCCGCCGCCTCCGCCGCCGCCACTGTCATCTTCGTCATCTTCGTCACCGCCGCCGCCGCCTCCGCCGCCGACACTGTCATCCTCTTCAGCTTCGTCGTCGTCGTCGCGGTCGTCGTCGCCGTCGCGGTCGTCTTCGTCGTCGTCGTCGTCGCTGCCGTCGCCGCCGCTTCCGTCTCCGCCGCCACCACTGTCATCCTCTTCATCTTCGTCGTCGTCGCGGTCGTCGTCGTCGTCGTCGCCGCCGCCGCCTCCGCCTCCGCCATTGTCATCCTCTTCAGCTCCGTCGTCGTTGTCGCGGTCGTCGTCGTCGTCGTCGTCGTCGTCGTTGTCGTCGTCGTCCTCACCGCCGCCGCCGCCTCCGCCGCCGCCACTGTCATCTCCTTCATCTTCGTCGTCGTCGCGGTCGTCGACGTCGTAGTCACCGCCGCCGCCGCCTCCGCCGCCGCCACGTCATCCTTTTCGTCTCGCGGTCGTCGTCGTCGTCATCGTTGTTGTCGTCGTCGTCGTTGCGGTCGTCGTCGTGGTCGTCGTTGTCGTCGTCGTCACCGCCGCTGCAGCTGTTTTGGCCGCCGCCACTCTCATCTCCTTCATCTTCGTCGTCGTCGTCGTCGCGGTCGTCGTCATGGTCGCCTCTGGTCGTCGTCGTCATGGTCGCGGTCATGGTTGTCGTCGTCGTCGTCGTCGCCGCCGTCGTCGTCGTCGTCACCGCCGCTGCCGCTGGTTTCGCCGCCGCCACTGTCATCTCCTTCATCTTCGTCGTCGTCATCGCGGTCGTCGTCGTCGTCGTCGTCGTCGTCGTCGTCGTCGTCGTCGTCGTCACCGCCGCCGCGTCCGCCGCCGCCACTGTCATCCTCTTCATTTTGGTCGTCGTCGTCGTCGTCTTCGTCACCGCCGCCACTGTCATCCTCTTCATCTTTGTCGTCGTCATCGTCGTCGTCACCGCCGCCGCCGCCTCCGCCGCCGCCACTGTCATCCTCTTCATCTTCGTCGTCGTTGTCGCGGTCGTCGTCGTCGCCGCCTCCGCCGCCGCCACTGTCATCCTGTGCGTCTTCGTCGTCGTCGTCGTCACCGCCGCCGCCGCCTCCGCCGCCACCTCTGTCATCCTCCTCATCTTCGTCGTCGTCGTCGCCGCCGTCGCCTCTGCCGCCTCCGCCGCCACCACTGTCATCCTTTTCGTCTTCGCGGTCGTCGTCGTCGTCATCGTTGTTGTCGTCGTCGTCGTTGCGGTCGTCGTCGTGGTCGTCGTCGTCGTCGTGGTCGTCGTCGTCGTCATCGCCGTCGTCGTGCGCAGCCGTTTTGGCTGAAGCCACGTTGACTCAAGTGCAGCATAGCGACTCCCGAGCCAGCACGCATTGGGCAGTTGTCTTTGCCGCTCCACTCGCTGCAGTGGGTTCCGGCGCATCATCTGTGAAGGACGCGAAGAAGGTCATCGCCGACACGAGCGTGGAGGACCTGAGTGCGGGTCTGGGAGAGCTGTCTGCTGAGGAGAAGGCGAAGCTCCTCGCCGCACTCCAGGGCGGCTCCAGCGGCGGCGCGGGCCTGGTCGACGTCTCCTCGCTCACGAAGATCGCCAAGGATGACCTCGGCCTCCTGCCGCAGCCGGCCGCCCCCAAGTTCAAGGGCGCGGTCATCCAGATCTACGTGCGGGACCAGCCCTACGGCGGCGCTGACAAGAGCTCCAACGGCCACCGCTACGACTCCGTTCCGTTTGCCAACGGCATGATCATGGCTGGCATGAGCTGTCAGTTGATCCACTACGTTCACCAGGAGCACGATAAGTTCTTCGAGGTTGCCGCCAAGTTTGACTTCCTCATCGTCCGCTGCAACCCGGGTCAGATCAAGGCCGACGGCGGTGACCAGCAGAAGTTCGATGACGCCATTATGGGCCTGCGCGCGAAAGGCATCCAGGCCTGGCCCTCGCCCACCGTGATGGAGAAGATGGGCGCCAAGGACGCCCTTTGCAAGATCGCCAATCTCAACATCGGCCTTGAGGACACTCTGGCGTACTACGACGAGGAGTCATTTGCTGCGGGCTTCAAGAAGACCATGGCCTTCCAGCCGCGCGTGATCAAGCAGAACCGCGGCTCTGCGGGCGAGGGCATCTGGATCATCAAGCTGAAGGAGGGCAACTACTGTTCGACTTTCGGCGAGCGCAGCTGCGAGGACGGCGAGGTTCTGGACATGATGGAGGCCAACGACAACCATTCGGAGGAGCACACCGTGGGGGAGTTCATCGAGTTCTGCGTCAATGGCCGCACCGACAAGTCCGGCACGTGGACGTCCAAGGGTGTGGGCAAGTATTTGGAGGGTGGCAAGGAGGCTGGAGGCCAGCTCGTGGACCAGCGCTTCTGCCCCCGCATCGTGGAGGGCGAGCTGCGCTACAACTGCATCGGTGGTGTCCTCGTCGGCATCATCCACAAGAAGCCCAAGGAGGGAGGAATCTCCGCCGTCGGCGGCACGGGCTCCATCTACACCTACTACGGCCCAGATGAGGTCAAGTTCGCGAACCTCACCAAGAAGTTCCTGACGGACGACCTGCCGCTGGTCATGCCCGCGCTGGGCCTCGCAGAGGAGCCCATCCCGCTCTGGTGGACCACTGACTTCATTCTCGCCTCGCCCGAGGGCACGCCCGCTGAGGAGGAGAAGTGGATCGTGGGGGAGTTCAACTGCTCGTGCGTCGGCATATCCAAGTGCCTCGCGGCTTACTGCAAGGACGACACCCCAGAGGCCAAGTTCACCGACATCACGGGTGAGGACATGGAGGCCGTGAACGACTACGCGAAGAAGTTGGGCGAGGTTGCCTTGAGCATTCTGGACAAGGCAAAGGCTTAGTCGGGCCAGGTGATGCAGGGATGCATAGCACGTCGCTCCTGCGCCTGCTTCGTTTGCTCTGGTGGATGTGGCGCGGCCAGCTTGCAGCTGCCGGGCACAATACGTGCTTACTCACCTGTTGTTTTTGGAACTTTCGCCACCGCTCTGCGGACCTTTGTCGCACCAGAGCCGCGCGCTTGAGGCCGTTCGTCGGCCTCGCGGTTTCCACGCGTTAGACGCAGTTTTGCTTCAACAGGGTGCGCAGTCACATCAGGAGGTCATGAGGAACGGGATTTGGACAGTGACCTCTAGGGTCAGTTTGACTCGGACCCCGAAAGTCACTACCTCAGTTTGGAGTTGCTGGACTCGCATTTTGGCTTGGTACCGCCCATCAGCTGCGATCCCATCGGAATTTGGTGGGCGGGGCTGGGTTCTGCTTCGCGGCGCCGCTGACTGACAAGCAAGCCGCTGCCTGCTCGTGACGCAGCTAATACGATATGTTTCGCTGCCTGGCAGCGCGAGGTCGTCGTCGCCGTCGTCGTCGCGGTCGTCGTCGCGGTCGCCGTCGCCGCCGCTGCCGCCGCCGCCGCTGTCTTCCTCTTCGTCGTCGTCGTCGTCATCGCCGCCGCCGCCGCCGCTGTCTTCCTCCTCGTCGTCGTCGCCGTCGTCGCCGCTGCAGCCACCGCCGCTGTCGTCTTCCTTGTCGGCTGCGTCGTCGTCGTCGCCGGCGACGGCACTGCCTTCCTCTTCGTCGTCGTCGTCGCCGTCGCCGCCGCTGCCGCTGCCGCCGCTGTCTTCCTCTTCGTCGTCGTCGTCGTCGCCGCCGCCGCCGCCGCTGTCTTCCTCTTCGTCGTCGTCGTCGTCGTCGCCGCTGCCGCCGCCGCCGCTGTCTTCCTCCTCGTCGTCGTCGCCGTCGTCGCCGCTGCAGCCACCACCGCTGTCGTCTTCCTTGTCGTCGTCGTCGTCGCCGGCGACGGCACTGCCTTCCTCTTCGCGGTCGTCGTCGCCGTCGCCGCCGCTGCCGCTGCCGCCGCTGTCTTCCTCTTCGTCGTCGTCGTCGTCGTCGCCGCCGCCGCCGCCGCTGTCTTCCTCTTCGTCGTCGTCGTCGTCGCCGCTGCCGCCGCCGCCGCTGTCTTCCATTTCGTCTGCGTCGTCGTCGCCTGCGACGACGCTGCCTTCCTCTTCGTCGTCGTCGTCGCTGTCGTCGCCGCTGCAGCCACCGCCGCTGTCGTCTTCCTTGTCGTCTGCGTCGTCGTCGTCGCCGGCGACGGCACTGCCTTCCTCTTCGTCGTCGTCGTCGCCGTCGCCGCCGCTGCCGCTGCCGCCGCTGTCTTCCTCTTCGTCGTCGTCGTCGTCGCCGCCGCCGCCGCCGCTGTCTTCCTCTTCGTCGTCGTCGTCGTCGCCGCTGCCGCCGCCGCCGCTGTCTTCCTCCTCGTCGTCGTCGCCGTCGTCGCCGCTGCAGCCACCGCCGCTGTCGTCTTCCTTGTCGTCGTTGTCGTCGTCGCCGGCGACGGCACTGCCTTCCTCTTCGCGGTCGTCGTCGCCGTCGCCGCCGCTGCCGCTGCCGCCGCTGTCTTCCTCTTCGTCGTCGTCGTCGTCGTCGCCGCCGCCGCCGCCGCTGTCTTCCTCTTCGTCGTCGTCGTCGCCGCTGCCGCCGCCGCCGCTGTCTTCCTTTTCGTCTGCGTCGTCGTCGCCTGCGACGACGCTGCCTTCCTCTTCGTCGTCGTCGTCGCTGTCGTCGTCGTCGTCTTTGTCGTGGGCGTCGTCGTCGTCGTTGTTGTCATCCTCGTCGTCGTCCTCGTCGTCGTCGCCAGCGTGGTCGCCGTTGTCGTCGTCGTCTTCCTTTTCCTCATCCTTTTCGTCGTCGTCGTCATCAAAGTCTCCGTCGTTGTCTTTGTCATCTTGGTGGTCGTCATCGTTTTCGTCTTCGTCGTGAAAGGGAGGAACGATTGGGCACCTGTGACCCCCATGTCGGACTCATCCCCACCAACTGGGACTAATCCCAACCAGCTGGTACCTTCTCCAACCATCACGGAAAGACAAACTGGTACTCATGCGACCCGGCCAAGCAACCTCACTGTATGATTGCAAGGGTGGGGCGAGATCAGTACATGTCAAAACCAGCTAATCCGCTGATACGTGTATATATGCCCCAGGAGCTAACATGACTGCCCTGGTTGGAATGTGTACCAAAACGGCTTGCGATGATGTGGTTCTCCAGATGTAGATGTGGATAGCGGTGTTACTGAATACGTACGATATCTTCTAGACCACGCATGAAAGTAAAACCTCCAGACGACCCAGACAAGCAATGTCCGTGGATTTTATGCTTATAAGAGGTACATGCTTAAGGGCTTGTCTATTTTAGGGCTCAAGGGTTGGATGGTTAAGGATTTGAATGGTTTCAGGGTGTAAGGGCTTAAGGATTAAAAGGTTGAAGGGCTTCAGGGTTAAGTGTTGAAGGGTTTTAGGGCTGAAGGGTTTGAAGGTGTGAGGGCTTGACGGCTCAGGGGCTTACGGGTTTTAGCGCTCAAGGATTTAAGGGTTGAATGGTTTTGGCGGCGGCGCCGCCGCCTGCCATGGTCCTCCACGACGGCTCTCGGATGTGGGAGCCACGGTGCACGGCCAGAGGAGGAGGGCAGGAGTGGGGCTCGAGCCAAGGGCTTGAGCAAAAGACGGTCTCGAGCCAACATCCGCTTCGGCCAAAGCGGAGCGCAGAGGGAGTCGGCCGGGAGAGGCAGCGGGCAGAGGGAGGGGCGAGTGCGGGCGGGCTTCCAGCACGGGGGACCGGGAGAAGGAGCTCGAGGGAAGCCTGGGCTGGGCCGCGGCCCTGCGCTCGAGCTCCCAGGAGACGCCCAAAGCAGAAAACACCAGGCAGGGCCTGAGCCAAAATAGATGGCCACGGCGGGCGGGGGGGGGGTCCGGCGTGGGAGAGAGACGGCGGCGCTGGCGGAGTGGCTGCGGGAAGGAGCTGGCGAGCAAGGAAGGGGGGAGGGAGGGAGGGAGAGGGATGTAGAGGGGAGGAGGAGGAGGAGGAGGAGGAGGAGGAGGAGGAGGAGGAGGAGGAAAAGGAGAAGGAGGAGGAGGACTCCTACTTCAAAGCCAAGTCTCACATTTCCACGCCCGCGGAGCGGGCGAAGTATCCAGCTTGGGCGGTCCTCGCAAATGAGGAGGCCGACGAGCTGGCCAATGAATCCGCTGCGCGGGCCGCCGTATCCCCCGACCTCGCCCAAAGGGTCGAGGCCTTGGATGTGCTGGCAGAGCAAATCTGAGGACGGCTCGCAGCAGTGCAGATGTTGTGGTGGACGCACTACCCAGTCCACCAGGAGGCCGCCGACTCAAAGAGAGAGCGACGGCAGGCCAGATCCCAAGCTGCGTTCAATCATCTCCTGGAAAGCACCTCCCACTGGCCAATTCTCGAGGGTGAGTTTGTCAGGTGCAGCAGGTGCCAGGAACGGACGCAAAGATGTCGAGCTGCTCGGTGGCTGCGCCTAGATTGTGTCTGCCCGAAGCCCGCCCATGCCCGTCAGCAGGGCAGTCGTGTTTTCAGCCAGCGTGCCCTTCCGTCCGCGAACAGACCACACGGACAGATTGTATCACGGCCACTGGGAGGTGTGAGTAGTTCTGATGGAGGCTCGAACATCCACCCCAGCCACCAACCCCACCTTGCGTTCTGTCGGGGGTCGTGTGGTGTCGGAGGTGTGGGTCCTGGAGGGTTCGGGCCTCCCGTAAATTTTAAAGAAGCCTGCCCCCCCCCCCACACAAGTCAGAGCGCGTGGAGGAAGGCCATGAATAAGCTCACACAAGAGATACATCCCCAGGCCTCAAAGAGTGGCCTGCTTGGGACCTGCGAGCCCAAGTCGGGTCCCCTTGGTGTGTAAGGATCGAGGACCGCAGATCGCAGCCGCTCGCGGAGGAGGAGGAGGAGGAGGAGGAGAGGAAGGGAGGAGGAGGAGGAGGAGGAGGAGGAGGAGGAGGGAGGAGGAGGAGGAGGAGGAGGAGGAGGAGGAGGAGGAGGAGGAGGAGGAGGAGAGGAGGAGGAGGAGGAGGAGGAGGAGGAGGAGGAGGAGGGGAGGAGAGGAGGAAGGGGGAGGAGGCGGAGGAGGAGGAGGAGGAGGAGGAGGGGAGGAGGAGGAGGAGGAGGAGGAGGAGGAGGAGGAGGAGGAGGAGGAAGAAGAAGAAGAAGAGGAAGAAGAGGAGGAGGAGGGGGATGAGGAGGAGGACGAGGAGGAGGAGGAGGAGGAGCAGCAGATGGAGGAGGAGAAAGGGAGGGGGAAACGAGGAGGAGGAGGAGGAGGAGGAGGAAAATGACGCCCGTAAGACGCCCGTAAGTCGCCAGTGAGGCTTCTCATGTAGGTTGGTTGGACCTTATACGAAAGGGAAATTCATACCAAAGTGGTTGGAATTAGTAGTAGAGTGGCTGGAATATTTTCGAGTTGGTTGTGATTTGTCCCGTTTCCCTTCTGACACCTCCCCGCCCCGGCCAGCGCAGCGCCTCTCCTTTGCGCCGGTCCTCGCCGTTCTATCACCAGGAAGAAAGAAACGGAGGATGTGGGGGAGGGGGAGGTGGGGGAGGTGGGGGAGGTGGGGGAGGTGGGGGAGGTGGGGGAGGGGGAGAAATGGGAGGATGAGGACGAGGTTGGGGAGGCGGACGATAATCAGGAGGAGGGGGAGGAGCAGGAGGAGGAAGTGGATAAGGAGGAAGAGGATAAAAGGGGGGAGGAGGATGGGCAACAGTTGCAGCTCACGCGGTAACGCGCGGGAAATCTCAGGAGCGCCCGGAGACGCCAAGCAGCGTCCGGAACTCGAGGCCGTGGGCCCCGTGAGGAGCACGTATCCGCTTGTTCGATACAGGGGCCGTTCGGAGACCGCGTGGATGCTGCAACTTCGAACCAAGTGGATGTTGGACAAGGGAGGCCTTTCAGGGACCTGGTGGCACTCAATTCGGTGCCCAGCGGCACAGTGGCGGACCCACGCTCCAGAACGAAATGAACACGGCGCCGGGCGAGGGCGAAGTGTCGCCATTTCGCGCAGGACGTGTGCCCACGTCGGCGACAAGGCGTCCATGTTGGAACGAAGCACGCAGACTACGCGCATTGGTTTGTGACGGTTCCTGATGGGTAAGATGGAGCCACCCAGACTGAGTCCCTCTTTGCAGGCTATGTGCATTAGCAGGATGAACTTAAAATATGGACTGAGGGCAGGACTATCAGGTATTGTATGAAAGGTGTATGCGTTATGCGTTGTGTCCCATGATTTCGGGAGTATAAAGCATAGTAGCAACAGTGTCAATGGCAGTCGGACGAGGAGAAAGAGGACGCGGGCGCAGGGGATTTGGGCAGTGGGAGGAGAAGCGCCGTGCGAAGGCCGAGGAGGAGAACGAGGATGCGGAGGATGAGGATGATGCTGATGATGATGATGATGATGATGATGAGGATGAGGATGAGGATGAGGATGAGGATGAGGATGAGGATGAGGATGAGGATGAGGATGAGGATGATATTGGTGATGCTGATGTTGATGCTGATGCTGATGCTGCTGATTATGCTGATGATGATGATGATGCTGCTGATGCTACTGATGATGATGATGATGATGATGATGATGATGATGATGATGATGATGATGATGATGATGATGATGATGGTGATGATGATGATGATGATGACGATGATGATGATGATGGTGATGATGATGATGATGATGATGATGATGATGATGATGATGATGATGATGATGATGATGATGATGATGATGATGATGATGATGAAGAAGAGGAAGAAGAGGAAGAAGAGGACGAGGAGGACGAGGAGGGAGATGACGTGGAGGGGAGGAGGAGGGAGGAAAGGGGGGGGGGGGGGGAGGAAGAGAGGAGAGAGAGGAGGAGGAGGAAGGAAGGAGGAGGAGGAGGAGGAGAGGAGGCGGAGGAGGAGGGAGGAGGAGGAAGAGGAGGAGGAGGAGGATGAGGAGGAGGAGGAGATAAAGATAAAGAGGAGGGCGGTTAGAGGAGGAGACGAGGAAGGAGGAGTGAGGAAGGGAGGAGGAGGGAGGCAGGAGGGGGAGAGGAGGAGGAGGAGGAGGAAGATGGAGGAAGGAAGGAGAGGAGGAGGGAGGAGGAGGGAGCAGGGGAGGAGAGGAGGAGGTGGGAGGAGGAGGGAGGAGGAGGAGGCAGCAGGAGGGAGGGGAGGGAAGGCAGAGGAGTATGAGGAGGCAGGAGGGAGGAGGAGAGAGGAGGAGGGAGAGGAAGTAGGAGAGGAGGGAACAGGAGGGAGAGGAGGGGAAGGAGAGGACAGAGGAGGACGAGGAGGAGGGAGAGGAAGGAGGAGAGAGAGAGGAGGCAGGAGGAGGGGAGGAGGGAGGAGGAGGAGGAGGATGGAGGCGGAGAGAGGATAGGAGGAGGAGGGTAGGAGGAGGGAGGAGGAGAAGGGAGGAGGAGTTAGCAGGAGGGAGCAGGAGGGCAGGAAGGAGGGAGGAGGAGGGAGGAGAGGGAGGAGAGGAGGAGGAGTCAGCAGGAGGGAGGAGAGAGGGAGGAGGAGGAGAGAGGAAGGGAGGAGGGAAGGAAAGGCGGAGAGGGAGAGGGAGGAGAGGGAGGAGGAGGGAGAGGAGGGAGGAGGAAGGAGGAGGAGGGAGGAGGGAGAAGGCGGGAGGGGAAGGGGAGGAGGGAGGGAGGGGTCCTTGGGCGAGATCAACGCGAGGCTCCAAAATCTGTCCCCGGAGTGCAGGGTATTCTGCTACCTGGACGATCTACCCGCCGCCAGCGCACGCCGCCGCGGCGGCGCAACTGGTTCCCAAAGAGCTCGCTCGCCTTGGCCTGTCGACCAACCCCGACAAGACGAAAGCCTGGGCAGCCGACCGCGGGGCCCCGCTGCCAGCTGCACTCGCCGCCTTCCGGGCTGACAACATGCTCTGTCTCGGGAACGCCGCCCCCTGGCTAGACCAGCAAGAGGACAGCGTCCTGGTCCACGCCGGAGCCGACGGCGCCGCGGCAGTGGCCCGCGCGCGGGCCTTCGCCGCGCGGCTGCGGGAACTGGGAGCGGCCGGCCTTTCAGCTGAGGCTACATACGCACTCTTGTGCACCTACGGGCGGGGATGCGTCACGCACCCCCTCAGGGCGAAGTTGCAAACGGGCTGGGTGCAGGAGCTCGACGACGTGCTGTTCGCCGCACTCGAAAACCTCCTCGCGGAGCTCCTGGACGACGTGCGGCGCCTGCGAGCCACGCTGCGCCTCTCCGACGGAGGGTGCGCTTTCCCTTCCGCCGCTCAGACCGCCCCGGCCGCGTACGCCGACAGCTGGGCCCTCTGCCTGCACGACGTGGCCACCTGCCTGGGGGTCAGCACCCTGGAAGAGCTTCGCGCCCGCTGCCCGCGCACCCTCCAAGCCTTCGCCCAAGCAGAGCAGGCGCTCCGGGGCGCTGGCGCGCTCGGAGAAGAACCGCTAGAGCTGCTGGACTACATGCGGGAGCCGCAGCACAAGCGGCAGGGGCACTGGGGGAAAGCCGCCTCGGAGGCCAGCAAGAAGCGACTCCTGGACACGCTGCTGGACGAGGACGGCCGCCTCTCGCTACGCTCGGCCGGAGGAACGGGGGCGGGGTCCTTCCTGCTGCCCCGACACGCCGGCGACGCCGCGCAGCCAGACAAACACTTCCTCACGAACCTGAAGATGCGGCTGGACATGCCCGTCTGCCCTGAGGGGGCCCTGTGCCAGCACAAGAACAAGACAACTGGGCAACTCTGCAACAAGCCGCTCGACCGGAAAGGGTGGCGCGCCAGGAAGTGCGAAGTGGGGGAGTCTCGGAACGACCGACACAACCGGTTGCGGGACTGGCACTCCAAGCGACACTCAGCGCTCACTGGATACGCTGCCCCCGCCGGGCAACGCGTGCCCGGGTGGGATCGTCGCCTGCCCAATGGCCGCCTCGAAAGGCCAAGCTCGACGTTGCCACCGTCGACCACAACACCGGGCGCCACATCTTTGTGGACTGGTCCGTGACTGCGCACACTCAACCTATGCCCCGCGCAGGCAGGCCCGGTCCCACAGGAGTGGCCTGGCAGCAGCCCCAGAGGTCGACAGCAAGAGGGATCGGTATCCTCCACGGCAGGGCCTCGAGCTGGCCCCCATGGTCTTCGAGGCCGGGGGGCGGCCCTCCGAGGAAGCGGCGGCCTTCGTGCGCAGATACGGCGCCGACCTCGGGGAAGACGAGCGGGGGGAACTCCTCGGCCGCTTGTGGCGGGATATTTCGGTGACCCTTCACAAGGGGAACGCCGAGATGGTGCTGAGCGCCCTCGGGCAGTAGTCCGCCACGACCGCCACCAACACGACCAACGCCAGAACGGCTAGCTGCTAACCATCGCGAAGACCACGACCACCAACGCGTCCACCACCAGCTCGACCAGCAGGCCCCCCGGCTCCACCAGCAGACCAGCCACCGGCACGACCGCCAGCGACCACCGCCAGCAGACCACCTCCAGCCCCGCCAGCTGACTGGCCGCCAGCAGACCCACCACCCAGGACGACCACCACCTGCACGGCCGCCTGGCAACACGACCACCGCCAGCACGGCCACCACTACGACCACCCAGCACGTCCCCCACGACCATCACCGCCCCCCGCCCCCCGCCCCCCTCCCCCCCCGCCCTTCCCCTGCCCTCTCCTGCCCCCCTTTCCCCGACGGGCCGCCCCTGCTGCAGCCAGTCGGCTCCCCCGCCTCCTCCTCCTCCTTCTCCTCCTCCTCCTCCTCCTCCTCCTCCTCCTCCTCCTCCTCCTCCTCCTGCTGCTCCTTCTCCCGCAGGCTGAGCTGGCCCAGCCAGGGCCCGAAGACGGCTCGAGGCTCAACGGTTCCTTCGGCGGCGGACTCGGACTCGCCTCGCACGCCTGGCCCCAGTGGCCACTCGTCCCAAAGGTGGACGTGTGCCGGGGCCGCGGAGACGGAGGGAGGAGGGAGGAGGGAGGGGGGAGAAGGGAGGAGGGAGGAGGGAGGAGGGAGGCGGGAGGAGGGAGGAGGGAGGGGGAGGGGCAGGATGGGAGGAGGGAGGAGGGAAGAGGGAAGAGTGGGAGGAGGCGGAGGACGAGGAGGAGGAGGAGGAAGAGGAGGAGGAAGAGGAAGAGAGGCGGAGGAGGATGCGGTAGGAGGAGGAGGAGGAGGAGGAGGAGGAGGAGGGGGAAGGAGGAGTAGGAGGAGGAGGAGGAGGAGGAGGAGGAGGAGGAAGAGGGGGGAGGAAGGAGCGGAGGAGGAGGAGGAGGAGGATGAGGAACAGGAGGAGGAAACAGGAGGAGGAGGCGGAGGAGGCGGTGGCGGTGGAGGCGGGGGCGGAGGCGGAGAGGAGGAGGAGGAGGAGGCGGAGGAGGAAGGAGGGGAGGAGGACGAGGAGGTGGAGGAGGAGGAGGAGGAGGAGCGATGAGGAAGGCGGGAGGCGGGAGGCGGAGGGCGTGGAGGCGGAGGCGGAGGGCGGAGGCGGCGGAGGAGGAGGTGGAAGAGGCGTAGCGGGAGCGGAGGCGGAGGGGTAGGAGGGGGAGGAGGAGGAGGAGGAGGAGAGGAGAGGAGGATGAGGGGAGGAGGTATGGTATTGTGGAGGAGGAGGAGGAGGGAGGAGGGGAGAGGTGGAGGAGGAGGAGGGAGGGGGAGGAGGGGGAGGAGGAGGAGGCGGAGGAGGGGAGGACGGAGGGGAGGAGGAGGAGGAGGAGGCGGAGGAGGATGGAGGAGGAGGAGGCATCGTTGCTCTCCCCTGCACGTTTCCCCGTTCCACACCATCTGCCCCTCATGTCCCTCCTCGCCTTCCTCCCTCTTCTCGTCCCTGTCCTCCTCCTCTTCCTCCTGTTTCTCCTGCTCCTGCTCTTTTCCCCTCTCCCACCTGCGATGGGAGGTGGACATCGGGACAGCGCACGAGTGGGCGCTCCGCCAGCAGATCGGGACTGGGCGGCGGATGGCGTTCATCTGGAACACCGGGCGTTGTGGCTCCACCCTGATGCACAGGGCCTTCCTGCTCCCTGTCCTCGTCCTCCTCCCCTCCTCCTCCTCCTCCTCATCCTCCTTCCTCTCTCCTCCTCCACCCTTCCTTTTCTCCTTCCACCCCCTCTCCTCCTCACTTCTCTCTCCTCTCCTCCTCTCCTTCCTCCTCCTTTTGTTCCTTTCTTTTATCCTCCTCCTCCTTCCTACCTTCCTGCCCCTCCTTGGCTCCCCTTGACCCCTCCTTTATCCCCCTGCCCTTCCCTCACCCCCCCTCGTCTTCGCTCTTGCCGTTTGCTTCCTGCTGCTCGTTGGCTCTCTCTCCATCCCTCCCCTCCCATCCCTCCCCCTCCCATGCCCTCCTCCCTCCCCTCTTTCCCCCCCCCCCTCCTCCCCTCACTTCCCTTCCTCCCTCACCCTTTTTTTCCCTCCCTTCCTCCTCCTCCTCCTCCTCCTCCTCCTCCTCCACCTTCCCCTCCTCCTCCTCCTTTTCCTCCTCCATTCCTTTTCTTTACGAATCATTTCTCCCTGTCGCACCCCGAAGCCAGTTTTTAGGGCGGGCCGGGCGCTTCGCTTGAGATTTCTTCACCGTTTATGAGTCAGAAGCTTGAACATGGCAACAGCTTCACAGATGAAGGGCGGGTGGTTTTCAACATGTGACTCTCGCCGCATCGCCGCGCACATTTGGTTGAAACAGTTGCAATAGTTTCACGGATTGAGGGCGGGTCGTTTTCAAAATGAGGATCTCGCCACAGCGCCGCGCACATTTTTCAAACACTTGCAAGAGCTTCACGCATTAAGGGCGGGTCGTTTTCAAAACCTGCCTCTGGCCGTAGCGCCGCGCACATTCGTTTTAAACATTTGCAAGAGCTTCACGGATTGAGGGCGGGTCGTTTTCAACATGTGGCTCTCGCCGTCGCGCCGCGCACATTCTTTTCAAACGTTTACACGAGCTTCACGGATTGAGGGCGTGTCGTTTTCAAAATGTGGCTCTTGCCACAGCGCCGCGCACACTCTTGTCAAACAGTTGCAAGAGTTTCGCGGATCGAGTGCGGGTCGTTTTCAAAGTGTGATTCTCGCCGTAGCGCCGCGCACATTATTTTCAAACATGTGTAAGAGCTTCACTTGAGCCAAGGAACTTGGCTCAAGAACTTGGCTCAAGGCTCAAGGATATCCCACGGCCCAAGGCGGGTCACACCTGCTCACTGTACTTACCATTTGCTCTTGCTCTTTTCTTCTCTCCGACGTCATCCCATACAGCTCGACATTACATCGATGTCTTCTTTGGGGGCCGGTGTCGACTCCTGTGCGCCAGGAACACCTGTCCAGCAGTTGTTCAAGCAGCACCGCATCCACAGTCCGCTGCAGGAAATGGACGGGCTCGACGACGCCGAGAGCACTCTTGCACGTCAGCAACGGTTCCAAGCTCAATTGGCCGGTGCCGGTGGCAGCAGCAGCGACGACAAGAACATCATGGGAGAGTCTGTGACGATGAACGCCTTCAGAAATATACTCAAGGAACAGCTTGACCCCATACGCCAGGACATAAACGCGATCAAAACGCATGGAGTCTCGCGTGCAGATCTTGATGTTAAGGTTGCTCCCATTTCCAGCGCCATCGACGACATCACGACGCGTCTGGAGATCCTGGAGTCGCGGGATGCTTCGCGAGCGCCTACTCCAGGACCATCTGCAAAGACAGGGTCGGAAACGAGCATTGGCACAAGCACATTCGGGAAATTGCAAGCTTTAGAACGTGAAGTTCAGCAACTCAGACGCCGAGGTGGTCCCAGAGTTCCTCACGATCCGAATGACAAGCGCTCTGTTACAGCAGTCTTTGGGAATCTGGATGGGTTCACTACGACGCATACGGCCTCCGCATGGTTGCGCGATCAGCTATCGCAGTGTGGTGGCCCTTTTACCCCATAACATGTACATGAAAGGGGACTCTACCAACATTCTGTTCGCGGAGTTTTCGGATACGACAGATCGCGACACAGCAGTGGCACTTATCAGGAGCACCCGTCTTCAACACAATGGTAAGGATATCTGGGCGTCACCCGACAGGCCGCCATTGGAGCGTGCGGCAAGCAATCACTGCTTCGGACTGAAGTACCTGTTGAAGGACACTTTCAAGCTCCCTTACATCATCAAGATCACGGACTCCTCTCCGTACGAGGTCAGCGTGGGCGGAGAGCCCGCTCTTACAGTGACGGTGGCCGGCAATACCGTGAAAAAGGAGTGGGCCGACACATGGGTCAGTTGGAAGGAACTCCAAGAACGCGAAGGCCTCAAGGAGCTGGAAGATAAATGCAGCGCTTTACTTACTCGGTCCCTTGGCGGCACGAAGGGTCAGCCGAAGGGGAAATCGAAAGGGCATCCGGAAACGCGGCATCTGTCAGGTACAGTCCAGCCTGGCATGAGAGCCCGCAGCGATGGACCACATCTTTTTTTCAGCTTGCTGTTCCTAGTATTGGGCGTCTCTTGGGCAAAGATACCGCGACGCCTTCAGCTACGGAGCCGCACTCATTTTCTACAGCAGGCACGGGCAAATATACCAGGCCGCTACACCTACATGCTTCATCTTTTTGTACATTTTCATCTTCATCCTCTATTTCCCCAACTCATTGTGCGACGATTTCTTCCTCCATCTAGCCAGCTTCATTGTCTCACTCTTCCACGCGGCTGCACGCGTGGTTCCAGTCTCGACGAGAATGTCAACCACTTCGCACGCAGATGTTTGGCACTTGGAATGTCGAAGGCCTCCGTGGGGATTCATATGTCAAGTTGTCTGAAGTAACTGCATCAATGGCTGCCCATCGCATCGCCGTCTTGGCCATACAGGAGACTCAATTACACGGTTCCGAGTATTACGATTACGATGGGTTTATGGTTTGCTTATCTGGGGAGCCAGACGATGCAAAACGTTCTGTAGCGGGGGTCGGCTTCATTGTTGCTCCATGGGCCCGTTCTGCTATAGTAGCGTTTTGGGCGGTATCACCACGATTGGCGCCTTTACGAATCAGAGTGCAACATGGCATTTTGACGGTCGTGTCGGCCTACGCCCCACAGAGCAAATACGGTTGCGATGTCCGCCAGTCTTTCTTCGCAGAATTGCTGGAAACAGCGCGGCCGACGACGCAACACAGCACTACGTTTGCATTGGGCGACTTCAACGCCAAATTACTCCAGCAACATCCCGGCGAAGAGCAATGCATTGGTCCACACCTCTTTCTTGCTGATTCTCTTCATAGCTCCGTGCATTTGACGAGCACATCAAACAGGCAACTTCTGCTCGAGCATTGTGTCGCTACGGACATGGTTATTGCGAGTAGGTTTTTTGACATTCCGGGCGATCAGCGAGTTACACGCAGAGATCTTGGCGCGGCCCCAATGGGCGACGATATTTCGCCAGATAAGTTCGCTCAGATCGACCATGTGCTTTGTCATGCCTCTATGCTTCCTTGGGTGAAGCTCTGCAGAACGCACCGGGGCGTCGCTCTGAACAGCCGCCATTATTTGTTGACGGCGGAATTTGGCTTACAATTTCAGGCTTCGGCGGCACATGCACGAACCTATGTCGACAAAGCTTCGGCGCGGGACCCGGCCTTGCAGATCGATTTCACGAAGCGTTTTTACAGCAAGTGGCAATCTTTTAGCGTTGCAAGTTGTTCTCTTGACGAAGCTGCGGAGCAAATCGAAGATGCGTTTGGTGCTGCTGCAGATGCGTTGCCTCGCAGGGCTCAGCCGGCCCGGCGACCTTGGATATCGCAGGCTACTTTGGACCTCATCGAACAAAGGAAAAATTTCAGGCGAATGGGCGACGCTCGCAACGAGAGCTCTCTCAACAAGGCGATCCGGAAGGCAGCGCTGGCTGACCGCACAACTTGGATTAACGATTCTCTGGTGGGGGGGGAACTGGGGCGCAGTCAGACAGCTGCGGAAGAAGCCTCAGACAAAGCACGCTGGAGTCAGGGATATGAGCAACAACTTGGCTGATGCCGCGAGCCGCCCGGATGCTTTGGCCGACTACTTCGAGAAAGTGCAGTGGCAAGTTACTTTCCCAGAGGTGGTTCTTACAGCTACCCGCCCTCTTGGTGCAGAGTTGTCCATAGACGTGCGCCAATTCGCATTGAACGAACTGATTTTCGTGTTGAGAGAGATGAAGGACGGAAAAGCAGCTGGCCCTGACGATGTACCACCAGATTTTTGCAAGGTTGCATCTACAGACGTACGCGATTGCCAAGCACTATTGCACGTTTGTCAACGGTGTTGGCCCCAGAAAGACATGCTGGAAACATGGCGCACGGCGAATGTCATCATGCTTTTCAAGAAAGGAGACGCAACTTTACCAAGCCACTATCGTCCGATCTCGTTGCTCTCGGTGGGATACAAAGCCCTCGCGGCGACGTTGCATCAGCGACTGCTTCAAGGAGGTGCAGAAGATCGATTACGACACCCACAGTTTGGACTCCGGCCTCACCAGGGCACCGCCGACGCGCTCATGCTCGCGAGGCGCATGATCGACGCAACGCTGATGAATAATAACGGTGATATTATTTTGCTTCTCCTTGACTGGGCCAAGGCGTTCGACCGATTGAAGCCAGAGTGTTTGCGCGCAGCTTTGACGAGATTTGGGCTACCGCAACCTTTCGTGCAACTGGTCAGAGGAATTTATTCGCGCAGGTATTTCACTCTACTAGACCATTGTGGTAAATCTTCGCAACGACGCCAAGCTGCTGGTATTGCACAGGGATGCCCGTTGTCACCGTATTTATATATTAGCGTGCAGACGGTGATGCTTCAGGACGCTCTGTCGGACCTGCGCCTTCAACAAGATCCAGGCTATGCGGTCTCTAGGGATATTCTGTGCGCCGACGACACTGCGTTGGTATCTCAACATGTAGGGAACCTACAGATCATGCTGGACGCAATTGTGGCAGAGGGGCGGAAGTACGGATTGGAATTGAATTGGGACAAGACGGTGCAACTTCAAATCG